GGCACATTTAGAGAGAGGACAGTTCGCAGAGACACAGTCAGGACGTGTGAGACTGAAGGAGGTTCAACCATTTGTTCATCGACCAGAACCAAATGAGAAGAACAGCAGAACTTCCACTGACCAGTGATCTGACCAGTGATCACACGTTGTTCTAAATTAAACTTTGGTATGAACAGTGTTAAATAAGACATGTCATATTTTTTATTGAACATTAATCTTCATTCTAACAGTGACGTTGTAATTTCAGAGACTGAATAAGGAAGAAACAGAAATGAGGCGAGTGAGATGAGGGAAAGATGAAAATGTTTCCTCAGAGGACGGGGACATGTCAGGATCTGATGATCCAGGATCAACAGGACCAGGAGGATGAATCAACAGGCAGTCGGGGAACAGAGATGAACAACCTGAGGGAACAATTAGAACACAAAAAAATACGTAAGCAGGATAGAAGAAACTCACAGACAAGAACATTAACGCAGTCCTGCGAAGAAAAATGTTAACAATGGAAAATAAATTGACATATTTTTACAAAAGATCAGATGAAGGCAACTGGCATGAAGAATAACTTCCCAGCTCCATCTCAATGTACCTGTGATAGTTTAGTAAGTTTTTTTGTTACTGTCCTACAGTTTATTGATGCTGATATATTCTTGGTAATAATTCTTATTTCTTGTTCTGTCTTGAAAGAGTCTCATCTCAACTTGACCCATGATTACCATACGCAAAAATAGTAATATAAAACTAATGTAATTTAACAGTCCTGCAGTAAATACCAACTTTATGAAGGTTATGGTGTTAGTGATTTTATTCAAACATCTTGATTAAGCTGTTATTGATTTGGGACGACAGAAAATGAGATCTTGTACCTTTGTGATACTTTGAATGCAACATTCAGTTCACTCAAGTCATTCTCCTGTGGTTTACGTGGAAAACATGAAAAAAATGGACTCATCTCCACAATCACGTTTTTCTTTAATGATGTCACAATTTATGCTGCAGTCTTTGACAAATGATCTATAACTTTAACTAAATTACGTCAATCTTGTTGTCATGTTGTCATCATTCTTTGTTGAAATCAGGTCTCTCTTGTAAATGAGTCCTCGAGGCTCAATGGGATTTACCTGTAGAAATAAAGGTTGAACAAATCTCTCAGGAAAAAAAAAGGACAAATATTTTCTAGTTGAGTGCAGTAACTGGAATTACCATAAATTTAAAAAAGATGTACTCGTACTTGTACTCGCTAGTGGCTGGTTTTTATTCATTCATTATTACTTTACTACAATAATCTTTATAACACCGTTTTCTTTTCTGTGAGACTGTCAGTCGCCTGGGATTGGTTCTGAAAAACACCAGGACAAGGAGAAAGAGAGGGGCAGGCTCCTGATGAATTTTCTTCAAATCTCATGACATCAGTACGAGTCAGGCATGATTAAGTTCTGTCCTTGTCATTTTTCACTTGCTGTGGGTCTGGCTGTTCTCCAAAGCTTTGTAATAAATTTGATGAAGTCTACACCTGATCACTGGGAATCAAACACTTGTGCTTTAACGATGGGACAGCAGTGTTTTTATTACTTTTTTTAAAGAACCTGTTGGGCCACTTTTTCCTTTTTTAATTTGAAAATTTCAGCCAGTTTTCTTTCCAGCTTCCTGACTGGTTCTCTACTGCAGCTCTACTTATTTTATATGAACAGTCAGAGATTTGACCAAGACAATTTACATTATTTACTAGTAGGTGTGAAACACACACACAAACCCCTTTTCATTTTATGGTTGTACCATTTATTGTTTTCAGACACTGAGACAGGATGATTGAAACAATCACAAACAGAACATGGAGTCAACCATGAAAATAAAAATGATCAAATGTATCTTCATTTATACCAAACCAAGAAAGGTGGAATGCTCAAAAACACTGATATTCTTATATATATATATATTAGAACTATATATGGTAGATTTCAAATACATAAATACACAATGTTTGTTCTTTACACAGTCTTATTGTGGCACATTGCACATAATCTCAGGAATCCTGTTCACTAAGGTCTTATTTTGATTATTAGCCATAAACTTGCTCAAGCAGTCGTTACCCAACAGAAAAATCAACGTGTTAGTGTCTTGTTTTAATTTTAGTGATCAAACACAATATTACTGACATGGACAGGAGATAAAGATGAATACAGTTTGTGATTTGTGATCCTAGAGATGCTTCAACGTTCAGGCCCCCGTTTAGGCTGAAAGACAAAATGTAACTCCATAAATAAAGTCTTAGCAGTCCTTAAAGAAAAGCCTAGTGCCTACCACCTTTTATGCCAGTTGTATACGTTTCACTGTTTTGCATTTGTGAAAGCAAAATATACCAAACATTAACAAAAAGATTTTAATAAAACTTTCAGAAAATTATCAGTTGATGTGTGATCAATTTAACCAAATTAAAAATGGCCACCACAATCAGCTGACCTTAAAAAAACATAAATAAAAAGCTAACGGCTGCAGCTGATAACACATGCTGCAGGCAGTCACTGCACAAGATCTATGCTTAAGAGTTCTGTCTACGCCACATGATGCCCCCTTCAATAAACAAATACAGCAATATACAGCAAAGGACGTGCAAAGACCTTGCATAACATTTGACCTTAATTTGTGACCTTGAAGCTGAGGTGATGAATGCAACACTCCGTCCAGTGATGATGCATTTTGTATGAAGTTTCATTAAATTATCTTGAGCAGAACACAAGTTATGAGTGGGATAAGAGAATGGCACCCACACCCAGTTCACATTGTCCGTTAGCGAAATATCTTGTGAACCACTGGAAGCATTTTAATAAAATGTTTGGAAAGTAATCAGTGGATGTACCTCTACAACTGATTAACCTATGGAGTCAATCCAATAAAAGATGGCTACCAGAGCTCATCAACATAAGTCAATGGCTGTAACTGTCAGTTTAACAGATCACTAGGAAACGTCTGAGGTGGACGTAGCTTAGAGCCACACGTCACACGTGCTCTGAGCCTAACAGATCGTGCACAACATTATTGTCCAGGTTTGACCAAAACGGCCACAACGTCGTTTCTCAGCTGTTGTTGATTAGTCCCTAACTCTGGCAGAAAAGGCTGCAGGTGATATGCTTCACCTTAAACAATGCGCTGCTTTCAACATAAATATTTCTTCACATCTTGCAAACATGAAACTCTGAATGAGACATAAGGTAGCAGGTGTTGTCTGAGCTCTGTGCAGGCCTTGTGTTGATGCGTTGTTACCTGCACTAGCTCTGTGACCACATGTTAGGCCTGAGCAGTCAAAAAGGCAGTTTCACAATAAACATACTGTCCCCTCACGTTGCTACATTCTGCTGAGGTAGACCGGAGCAGATTCACCCACCAACCCTGCTCCCCCCACTGAGGCAAAATCCTTCACAAACGAGCAGCAGTGCACGTCAAGCATGAAGTTTTTTTATTTCTTCACCTCCTCAGAGCTCACTGAAGCTCTAACGAGATGACAGAAAACATGTTGATCAGACTTTTCCACATGTGCTTCAGCAAAGCTTTGAGAAGCTTCAGTCTGCGTTAAGGTTGGGCGAGTGGACGGATACATCGAGCATCACAGCAGCTGGTTTCTCTGAGGACAATATTTTCTTCTGGTTTGTAATCCGTTAGTAGTTTTTGTAATCATGCAATATGTTCATGTGCGAGAAGTACCAGAGTTCAAGTTCTTACATGTAAAATATAATAGGTTTGCTAAACTAAAGTTCGCCCACGCCTTGCTACAGCAACAGAGCTGTAACTGGATGACCGTCAAGTCTACGGACAAAACCGAACCTGCCAGGACTGCGAGGAGGTCGGTGCCTCCAGAGCTCCAGCATGTTAATGAAGAGATGCTACGATGATATCAGAATAAAACTGCTGGAAGGAAAAAGTTGTTTGGAGAAGTGGAATTAACTCTGATCATGAAAGTGCAGCTAACCAGGTGAGCTGCTAGCTAACAATCGTGCAAACGACTACACCAAAACTCTGTTGTGGCACATGCTTTGAACAAAATCTGAAAACTTGGAGGTGTACTCTAGGCAGAATATTTGACTTACGGGTCTTCCAGAGGACTCAGAACGCTACACCTGACAGAGGTCATGACGGAGTTCCTTAAGAACTTGTTGGAACTTAAAGAGGAGCGCGACATGGACGGGGTCTACTTTACGCAGCACGCTAAGGAATGGAGAGCTACCAAGTCATTAAGGTGACAAGTTCAAACCAGGAATACTGTTCTGCTTTGAGCTGGAGACTCCACTACACAGCAGGAAAAGGACGTACATTTTCCTGGACTTTTCAAAGATTGTGGCCCACTGGAGGATGGCTTTCATCCCAGTAAAGGAGCACCATGGCTTCACGTACCCTACACAGCACCATGTTGAACAGCCAGGCCCTTAAGTTTGAACACCTGGACCTAGTTTAGTTTGTCAAGAAGAAACTTTGGAGGAGTTTAGATTTAGAGACAGCCAAAGCTTGTTGCATCCTCTGCAATAACTGAGAAAACTGAGCTACAGCTGCCTGGAGCTCTTTATACCAGCCCAGAGCTGGTTGCACACACCTGGTACGGACCAAAAATTTCCCAGTTATTAACAATAAAATAAAACTTACAGATTCTAAAAACACCTGCATGAATTTATACCTAGCTGTTGTTAGCCGTTATTAGCTGCTGTTAGCAGTTGTTAGCTGTTATTAGCTGTTGTTAATTGTTATTAGCTGTTGTACTGACGATGGCCTATCGCCCAACCCTAACTCGTGTTCTTCAGTTTTGGAGAACTATGGTGAGCAGATTTAACTAGTAATAGTTGTTTTATAGTTAAAACAGATTTTTTTGTTAAACTCAATGAACCAGTGATGAAGTTACAATCATGAGATGCAGGTCTAGGTCCAGACCCATGAGAACGGTCAACGTGGTCCTCTCTCTAGAAGCCTTTCGGCTGTAACGTGTATTCAGTTCAATCTAAACCCTTGTACGGTAGTTACGTTTCTTTGTTGTTGAATTTTAAAGAATAACCAACAGCACTTTCGAGGCATTCCACCAGGGAGCCTGCAGAGAGGAAGTCCAGCTCCACCTCAATGAATTTGATGTAGATGGCAAACCGTGGTGGATTTTGGCTGCTCTCATCGTCCTGACTTGTTCTAGCCCCACGACAATTCTCCTGCAGGAACTGCATCACACCAGAAAGCTTCCCATGGACATACTGTTTTCCACATCCCTGAAAGTTCTGGAAGAGACCCTGCTGTATGGTCCTGTCCTCAGCTATGCCCAGGTAGCAGTACGTGATCTTTGGCCCAGTCCTGTCAGCTTGTCTGGACCCTCCATCGGATTGTTCTGACCCATTTTCTGACCCACTCTGAGGTAAGCTACCCTCCTCCAGCTTAGCCTGGACAGTGGTCTGAATGGTGTTGTTGCAGGCTAACAAGCTTTCATAACCAATAGCATAGAGTCCATGAGTCCTGGGGAGGTCTCCAGGGAGGAGATAGTGGGCGGAGACTTTACTGCCCATCAGCTGGGACTGCAGCACAGGAACCCAGTCTACATCCATGTGGAGCTCCAGGCAGCGAGCCTCACTGATTGTGATGTCCAAGAACTTGTAGTAAACGTTCTTCCAGTTCATCTTCTGAACTTTGGTCATGACAACCCGGCCCTCTGGTTTTTCTGGGTTGAAAAACTCTCGTAGTCTCTTCCCAAGTGGCACCTGGGAACTGATTTCAGCATAGTGGTAACGCACGTCCTCACACCAGCGCGTATTGTAGCCCACACCAAAGATGGCTAGCTTGTTGGACAGATGCAGCCGGGAGAACTCGGTCCACGTCTGGAAGTGCTCCCACTTCAGCTGCACCGACTCCAGGATCTGAATAACCGTCTGCATCACGTCTCTTTTTCTGCAACATGACAATAATGACAGTCACACATCAGGGTCAATCAGCAGCTCACGATCTGGAGATGAGACCCATGAGAACAACAGAAACAAACTGATCGCCCCACAAAATACTTCTTAATACCTAGCTTCTTGTGGATTGTTTTGTTCTGTGTGTTTGGACAATTTAATGATCTTAACTGATTCATACTTGTGTTTTTACTTACTTGCAGTTATGGGGCAGGACAGGTCACCGTCCATGTTCATCAGTAGATTTATCATATTTTCCTTTGAGCAGTGATCTGAACTGTAGCAGAAACTATTCTGTCTTATGGACACGTTCGGCTGCTTTTAGCTCATTGACACTTCTGCTGCTAACACTAGACCTCACAGCATCTTATTTAAAGCATGAATAGCTGCTGTGTCCAACAGCAGAGATTAATCTTTAAATTCTTGATACGTTAATACTTTACTGCTTACTGTCTGATGGTGAACTGAAAAATATCTCAACTAGTCTGTGATGGACTGGAGACCTGTCCAGGTGTCCCTGTGATGGACTGGA